CAAAGAACTGTACCAAATAACAGAAACCACATTACTTGAGGACTATCATCAGCAGCCATAACTAAAATGAATAGCACATGCAATTTGAAGATAAAATGATATAATGAAGATGTTGACATTCCACTCTACTTCAAACAAAAAGTTAGGAAGGAAACCCCCTTCAATGCTGGAAATAATGATAATAGCTACTGGACTTGAGAAAAAAATGTTTTAAGAGAAATATTTTATAAATTTCAAGCAAAAGCAGTACTAGCTTATATATATATATATATATATATATATATATATATATATATATATATTTTTCCTCATCAGTGTGTTACACTGAGTTACATGCATGCACAATGCAATCATTAGGTGCAGATCAAAAACAGTGCATTACATAATTTAAGTATTGATAGATATACCATACTATAATGATATTGGTATAGTCTATTTTATTTATGAGCAATGGGGATTAATTATTTTTTTTATGTTTGTTTATTTTTTAATCCCCTCTACTTAATGGACTGCTCCACTATCATTATAGTATGGAATATATATATATAGATTATGCAATAATCAGTTTTCAATCTGCACTTGAAGATTGCGTTGTGCATGAAACTGAGTTGTGCTACCAATGAGAATTTTTTTTTTTTTTAATATAAATTATAGCACATTAAGCACTATTTTATGAGCACCAGCACTCAATGTGCAATATTTTATCTTTTTTATATATATATATATATATATATATATATATATATATATATATATATATAGAGAGAGAGAGAGAGAGAGAACAGTATTAGGGAAATTGTATGACAAAGTGGAAAATGTTTATTATGATGTTTCATCCTTCAGGACTTCATCAGGCTAAATTTGTTATGTTGGTAGGTCTACACATGATAGAGAGGGACAGGGAATTCTAAGATTTATTTTTATCTAGCTGAGGACTCTAAATGAATTCAGCTAGATAAAAAAAAAAAATTCTAAATTCCCAACACCCCTTTGTCATGCATATGTGTAGTTCTACCAACATAAATTCAGTCTGATGAAGTCCTGAAGGGCGAAATGTGTCACAAGTAAACTTTTTCCACTTTGTCATAAAGCTTCCCATAACCACTTTCAATACTACTCTACCTCCACTAATCAAAAGTTACTAGGAAATACACATCTCAAACCAGACCTAAAAATTTGTTTGATGAACCCGGCCTTTTAGTATATTGTAGACCAAAGAATCTTAAGGAAATAATAGGTGGTAACCAAATTTCAGACATTAAAGTAACAAGAAATAGACAAAAAATAAAAACAGTGGGATTTTCTCAACCATGTAACAACAAAAGGAGCCTATGTTGTAACCACATTAAGTACACCAATTCATTCACTAGCTCAGTCACTAAAACTACTTTCAAAATCTACCACAACTCTAACTGTACAAGTCATAACATAATTTACTTGTTAGAATGCACACTATGCCAGAAAAAATATGTGGGAAAATCTGGATGGCCCTTTCACTACAGAATTAATAATTATGGGAAGCAGATTAAGTCAGTTCCTCACAAAAAATTATTACCTGTAGGTCAATATTTCTGTCTGAAAAAACATGATTTTAATAGTTATGAAAAATTCCCTATTATTGAAAGAATAGAAATAGACACAAAAAATAAACTTAGGAAAATACTAGAACATGAAAATAAATGGATTTTGTGACTCAAAAAACTTTGTCCAAATGGACTTAACAACAGCCTAAACAGCACAGATAGAATTAATATATAACCCTATAGATCACCCCCACCCATATTTCTTAACCACACTAGACAAATATGTTTGTAGATATGCTGTGGTCTCTCACATATATATATATATATATATTTGGATTGACCAAAAATTATTGATAAAAAAAATGAAAACTACAGGAAAAGTTTTCTTTTTTTCAAAGACAGTTATTCACCCCTGTAGTTCACTGCTATGAACAAGCATAAATTTTTTTCTCCTGATGATGGCCATATTGGCCAAAACTAGTCAAGGAAGCTAATTTAAATAATAAAACAAAAAATATTAATATACAACTCAGTGTATCTGAAATTTTAATTTTTTAACATTTTTGGGAAGACAGATTTGTTGTAGACCATTCTTTTTAAGACCACTAGGATCTTGTTCTTGAAGACTGAATTTCCTTTGCTGAAAAATTGTGATTAATGTGTTTTTAATTTATTTTAGTTTTTTTTTTTCAGATTTTTGATTTAATTTTTTTTCATTGAAGAAAATAAAACAAAAATATAACTTTATTTAAATGTATCATTTGCATATCAGAGCATGTCAGTCATCCAAAATAGGAAAACCAGAATTGAGTAATAAATGATATTCTCATTGTGTCAGGCTCCAATAACCTTGGCTTAACAAATACAGCATATGAACCAACTGGAATATGGTATTTTTCGTACATTCATTGATGCTTTATTATTCAAAATTATTTTTATCATTCCCACTATTTCCCTTTAATTTAGATAGGTGGTAAGTTGAAACCTTACTCCATCAAATCTTCCCATAGTCACATCAAAGCTCGCACAATTGCCTTTTTTGATTTACTTATTTACACAGGGAAATAATACTGGTTTCATGAATGCTTGATAATTTCTCTGTTGATCATTTTCTGTACAACTGAGCTCTATATTATTTGAGGAAGCACGGTGGAGTAATGGATAGTGGCTTGGATTGAGGAATCGGAGAGTCGAGTTTGAATTCCAGTCGAATCCATTACATTCACTTACGTGCTAACACCCTTGGGAAAGGTGTGAATCCTCTTTCTTCTCCCTCCAGCTATGGGTAAATAGCAGGAAAGACTGAGTTCTAAAGCCTTGGATGGCAACTGGTCTAGGAGAAGGAAAACTCTGAATTCAAACCTGCTCTTAGAGGAGGGTGAATGGAGTCTCTCTGAGCCTTGGTTGGCAATCCATTTAGTGATGGTGTCACGATAAAAAATTCTTTGATAGCCCTAGCGAAGCATCAAGAATTCAGCTATTTGACAAGATTATGAACTACACCAATCAAAGTATTGGTGAGTTCAATCTCGGCTGAGGCCGCAAGATGATGATGATTATTTAGTTGAATGTTGCTTCATTAATAGGAAGGTAGAAATTCTTTGCTTATTTTTGATAGTCAATAACAACTTGGTTATTTTTTTTATTGGATATGTGACACTTCAGGATCCACTATTTCCATTTTTTTAATTGATTTTCTTCAAAAGACACTTAATGGGGTTTAATTGCCTACATGAAGGTTTCACTTTAAATTTTTCCTTATGGTCTTTTATAATGGTGATTTATTTGGTTTGTCAGTATTGTAGTTATATTCTTGGTATCGATGGTTATCATATGACTCGGTACTTTTTGATAAATCTTTGTCAAGCTATTCATTAATAAGTTTGTTATACTTAATTGGCTCCATTGTTGCACACCAGAGGTAATACATTCATCAAACTTTTGATCCTTTTTTAAATTTTCTTTTAACTTCTAAGAACTTTTCTGAACATTCTTAAGCCAAGTGCATTCATGATATTGAGCAAGTTTTTTTTTTTTTTTTTTTTTTTTGAAAGATGTTTAATTCTATCCACCACAGTTGGTATTTACATGTTTTGAACTTGTATCTCTTTTTCTGCAGAGAAAATGATGTCAGTGTTGAAGGAATGGCTTCCATCTCATTCTTTTAGGAAACTTTCTACTTTTTGAATAAATTTTAGCTTTTGTGCTCGCGGTTCTGGTATTGGAATATTCTTGACTGAATAATCCAGCTGTGCCTCTTTCATTTTTGTGGTAATATAATTGACACTGCCAATGGTACTCTACTGCTAAAATAGCAATACTGTATTATTAGAATTTTGACTCTCTCATATACATACATAAATAACACAGTGTGAATAAAATATGCTGTGTTTGTACATATGTATAAGTAAAATATTGTGTGTGTGTGTATATATATATATATATATATATATATATAAATAGGTTTGAAAACGGCACAAAAAAGCGTATTAAGGCATTAAAAAAGAAATGTAGTATTGGCCTAATATCCGATAAGTTTAAAATAAAAACACACAATTCGATTAATTTTAGTCCCTGGGGAGATCAGAACTGTTAACGGGAATTTAGATTATGAGAAAAAAAAAAAGTCTGTCATGGGTGACATGAATGAATGGACAGGGAAGGAAAAAAAATAATAAATAAATAAAAATTAAAAAAAAAAAAAAAAAAAATATATATTTAATTATAAAGACAAGCTGCTAGAATTGCAGAACAGAAAAATCCAAGCAAACAATCTCTTTGTTTGCAAATAGCAGGTTAGATAGACCTGATGTAAAGCTTTACTCCAGCACCTTAAGATGGAAAAGTGATTGCTTATTTTTTTGCTGTTCTGCGATTCTATTTAAAGATGGTATAATTTTAATATATTTTTTTTTATTTTTATTTTTTTTCCTTCCTTCCATTCATTCATGTCACCCATGACAGACTTTTTTTTTTCATCATAATCTAAATTCCCTAATTAACAGTTCTGACGAGAGGGGACAAAACCAATTAAATCTGTGTGTTTTATTTTAAACTTATCATATTTAAACAATACTACATTTTTAGTTTTTAATGTCTTAATATATATATATATATAAAGATTTATAAGTCATCTTTGTTGTCCCATTTCATTTTTTCTAAAATTTTCCATTTATCCATATGGAATCCATAGTAGTTCGACTACACATCTTGCAACTTGGAAACAAAATTACCCAAGTCTCTTTCACTCAAATAAATTATAGAACAAAAATTAATCACAGCTAAAAATTTCTTGGAAAGCGTAAATGGCTACACCGCTTCCTCTTGCAGTCAAGTGAACAATTGTATAATTGAAAAGGTACCATTCTCAAAATGGTTCTTGTCTTGCTGATTGGCATATATTCTTGCTGAAACTGGTTCTGCTATAATTTGTATTTGTTTTTGAGGAAAGCATCAGAGAAGTAATGTAAGAATTAAATGGAGACATTGTCTTTTTATTTTGTTCTTTTTCTTTTGGTGTCCAGTTCTTGAACACCTTTAAGATCCGTATCAGTTTCCTCTGGGTTTTTATCTAAGTTTCTTTTTCTCTTTGTTTTGATGCTCTGTTTTCTTTCTTTCTTTCAAATCACAATCCTTGGTTTTTTTCTTTTTTCTATTTATCTTCTGTTTTTCTAAAAATTCTCTTTTTCATCATTTGGTTTTTTTTTTCTATCTTCTGGTTTTTTTTTTCTAAATTCTCTGTTTTTCTTTCTATCTTCTCTTTTATTTCTTTTATTTCTTCTCTTCTTAAAAATTTTTCTTTCTTCTCTTATTTCTTTCTTCTTTTGTTATTTCTTTCTATCTTCTCTGTTATTTTGATCTATCTTTCTCTGTTATTTCTTTCTATCTTCTCTGTTATTTCTTTTTTATCTTCTCTGTTATTTCTTTCTATCTTCTCTGTTATTTCTTTCTATCTTCTCTGTTATTTCTTTCTTATCTTTTCTGTTATTTCTTTTCTCTTCTCTGTTATCTATCTTCTCTGTTATTTCTTTCCTATCTTCTATATTTCTTTCTATCTTCTCTGTTATTTCTTTCTATATTCTCTGTTATTTCTTTCTATTTCTCTGTTATTTCTTTCTATCTTCTCTTTCAGGTCTATCTTCTCTGTTATTTTTTCTATCTTCTCTGTTATTTCTTTCTATTATTTCTTTGTAAATTTTCTATTTCTTTCTATCTTCTCTGTTATTTCTTTTCTATCTTCTCTGTTATTTCTTTCTATCTTCTCTGTTATTTCTTTTTATCTTCTCTGTTATTTCTTTCTATCTTCTCTGTTATTTCTTTCTTCTTCTCTGTATTTCTTTTCTATCTTCTTTTATTTCTTTCTATCTTCTCTGTTATTTCTTTTCTATCTTCTCTGTTTCTTTTGTTTTTTATTCTATCTTCTCTGTTATTTCTTTCTATCTTCTCTGTTATTTCTTTCTATCTTCTGTTATTTCTTTCTATCTTCTCTGTTATTTCTTTATATCTTCTCTGTTATTTCTTTCTTCTTCTCTGTTATTTCTTTCTATCTTCTCTGTTATTTCTTTCTATCTTCTCTGTTATTTCTTTCTATCTTCTCTGTTATTTCTTTCTATCTTCTCTGTTATTTCTTTCTATCTTCTCTGTTATTTCTTTCTATCTTCTCTGTTATTTCTTTCTATCTTCTCTGTTATTTCTTTCTATCTTCTCTGTTATTTCTTTCTATCTTCTCTGTTATTTCTTTCTATCTTCTCTGTTATTTCTTTCTATCTTCTCTTATTTTTTCTATCTTCTCTGTTTTTCTTTCTCTGTTATTTCTTTTCTATCTTCTCTAAATTTCTTTCTATCTTCTCTGTTTTTTTCTTTCTATCTTCTCTGTTATTTCTTTTCTATCTTTTGATTATTTCTTTGTATCTTTTTTATCCTCTCTTTCTTCTCTCTCTATTCTCTTGCTAACTGGATTTCTCTTTTTTTTCCTCTCTGTCTCTTGCCTGTCTCTTTCTCTCTTTCACCTTAATTTCTTTCATTTCTCTTGGTATCTATTATTGACCTCCTTATGCAAGTCAAACTACCACTGACTTCTTATGATCTGTATTCTTTTAAAGTGATAATATTTTACAAGTACAATCTTTGCCTGAGTTACTAATGAGTTTTGTTCTGATAGGTTACTGATATTTATGTCGTCTCAAAGACTTAAACAACAGTAGTATATAACCTTGATTACTCTTAAAATTTATCATGGCGTTTTTATAATCTTTTTAAAAGGAACCTATATAATTTTAATTAGATTTCTGATAGTGAAGTTTATCTTATTCATAAGAGAAAGTAATATTATAAATATTTCAAATATTAAACATCAATTTTTGACTGCAACTAAATAGCTGAGAGAGATTTTGTTAATTTTTCTTTTAGTGTATTAATTTATTCTTTTGATATTAAATATTACAGAATACAAAATTTAAAATGATGCTTTAGTGACAAATTTTATCACAGAATTTAAGCAACATTATGCTTGATCAGTACCTTGATTGATTACCATTTGGGAATACCAGGTGCTGTAAGTTATGATGTGCAGGTGGTGTAATGGATAACAGCTTGGAATTGAGAGCAAAATTTCAATTCCAGTCGGGTTTGTTATGTTTAATACCCTTGGGGAAGGCATGAATCCACATCTTCTTCCCCAGTTATTGGTTAATTAGTAGGACTTGTATCAGTAAATTATTATTTACAAAATATTCTTACAATCAAAAAATATTTTCTGGCTTTAAATAACCTTCAAAAGATTGATTGCTTATTATGACTTATTAATACTGTAGGCAGGATGGGGAACAACTTTGATATCATTTTGTTTACTATCATGCACAGCTGCTTAATGTTAGGTAATGATATTGAAGTTTGGATAAACATTTTTGTTATCAATTCATTTATTCTCTTGATCCCTGTGTTAATGGATATGTAAACAAAGAGCAGTTGAGAAAAAGGTGGTAAAAACTACTGATATTTTATAATTAAAATATTACCCTATGTCAGTGGTTCTCAAACATTTTTTCTTTGGGCCCCATTTTCAGAAAGAAAATTTGTTTGTGCCTCACCAAATTTTATATGATAAAAAGTACATTTAAAAATGAAAAAAAACAGAGTTAAAAGGAGATAACTGCAAATTCAATGCCAGAATATTATCGTTGATAACTCTCTCCTCCAATTTGCAGACCCTAGTTACTATATTTTTAATACTTGATATAATGCAAAAATATCACAATGATAAAATCAGTCAGTAATTATTTATAACTATTTATACTGGGACTCATGCATCAAATTACAAGTAAGCCATAATAATATTTTAAATTTTGAAATAATATTTATTTTTTGCATATTAATTTATTGAAAATGTTTCTAAATCTTTGATTGTTTTTGAATCATTCTACCTTACCTGCTAACACTGCACCTATGAGGCACGCTGCACCATTTGGGAACCATGCTGCACCATTTGGAAACCACTGCCCTATGAAAAATATTTTTTAAAAGTTGCACCATATTTATCCATTAAAATCTCAATGCCATGCATATATTTCATTAAAATACTTAATTTTTGACAATATTGAAGAATAGAAGTGTTGTAGCCTTGTTAGCACCAAAAATAAAGACACAAGAGAGGAACTGAGTTAAAGATATTAACAAAAACGGTAATACAAACATATGCAGCCATGAGTGTTACAGCAAGAATGTTCGGTCTGACTGTCAGAGCTGACTGTTGAAAACTTCCCTCTCAAAAAGGCAGTACTTGCTCCTATTTATAGCTGGGAGAGTCCATGCATGCGTGGGTAAATTGCCATAACAAGAAGTAACTCGGATGTTTAGCTATTGTGTTTCATCTCCTAATTTCCATTCCCAAGCCTATTTTTGAGGAAAGATGCTTTGTTATAATATTAATGTTATTGAAACATGACAGACCTTGTATGTTTTCTTTATTAATTGTTTTCTTTCATCAATTTTGATGAATTTCCTAGTAAAACTATCCCTTTACCTAGCTGCACCTCTCACAAAAATTTGGTTTTGACTGGTCAAGAAATGGCTATTTTAGAGTCACAGAATTTTATATAGATAGGTTTGCTTAAAACTTTTATAGATTGTTTTTTCGAAAATAAACTACTCTGAACATGGTGTAAATAATAGGTGCTTATACTACAAAGTCGTATTATACTCGATTGTTCTATTTTTAGCTTCAAAAACACAGGATCAGATCTTTTTTCTTTTTTTTTTTTTTAACAATGTTCATTCAATACTAGGCCCAAGAGCCACTCAAGGTAGAGGGCTACTGTGTGGTGTCATATGAGCATAAAAAAGAGCAAGAAGTGAAGATCTTGAAGTTACACAGGAAAGATAACAGCTAACTCTAAACTTGAAGAGGTCATGATTCAATTACTGAATAAAATTTCAGAGTTAAGTCGGAGATGTTAGAAATATAGAGTGATAGTAGCGTTTAGAAGGAACCAGAAACCCAATCTTAAACTGGAAGCAAGGGATAAACCTCTACTCCTGTTCTAAAGATCAGGGAGGAGTTTGAACCAGATGATTGGTGAACCTATCTTTTTCTATTTGGAGAAGAGAAAAAAATAATTATCATACTTATTATAAAACCCAGGTTGTGTGTGTGTGTGTCTGTTTCGTTTATATATTGGATTGGATTTCCTACATTTTTCAACCAATTTCAACAAAACATCACAGGACTACATCAAATTCCTTGCGGTGGTTCTGACAACACCAAAAATTGGAAAAACACAATTGTTTTTGCACAAAATCAATTTGAAAACACAATTAAGAGGCATTGCTGTCGCGAGAATGAAAGAGGGACAACTCATATCGAGTTATACTTATTATAAAACCTAGGTTGTTTGTATGTGTGTGTTCATTTATATATGGGATCGGATTTCCTACATTTTTCAACCGATTTCAACAAAACTTCACTTTTCTTTTTGGCAGGTAGTGTTTCTTATTGTCTTGCACACTTTTTCTTTATTTTTACATTCAGAATGCTTTAAAAATTCCATTTACAAGACAATTGTTTATAATAAAATTCTATTCAATTGGTAGACTCTTAACGATTGAAAACAATGTTTTTGTTTGAGTTTGGGTTTGACCAATTCGTAAAAAAAAAAAAAAACTAATTAAGACATAAATTAAACAATAATCTTTGTCAATTTTATTTTTCAGTCTTTATGATGGTCGATACTTGATCTATCTCTTACTGTTACATCCCCGGGCAATGCTGGGCTTTACTGCTAGTTTATAAATAAAATTTCAAATTTCATTTGGAGATGTTAAGAGTATAGAGTTGAAGTAGACTTTAAAAAGGACCAGAACCCAGGAATAAACATCTGTGAACCTCTGTACCTCTACCTAAATTGTATTATTCACAAGAAAATACAATATTTTAACAAATAAAACTAAAAGGTTGCTAAACCAAAATATTGCAGTACTAATATTTTCAGAATAAGTGCATTAATTCATCTACATAGGACTGTAGTAATCTCACAATCATGAAAAAAATATATAATTTCCCATAATTCCTTAGTATAAAGGAAACCTCCCTACTGGTGAGAAATTTAAAGTCATTCTCTTTTTTTTTTTTTTTTTTTTTCTTGCCAAGAGAGCACATGGATTTGATCCACTCCAGGAATGAAGACCAAAGATATGTTTTACACAAATATCACTTTCTCATGTTTAGTATTACCTTATAATGATCAACTTATCACTTATAAATAATTTATTCATTCACCAAAACAAACACAAACATTTATTTACAACCACATTGCAAGAACTTTCATATATCTCTCAAACTAGTACAACCAAATCCTTCTGATGAATGTGACTGAATAGTTTTCTTTTTGTCATTCATACAAAAATGAAAAGTGAAAAAAATACATGCTTAACAATAGGTTCATGCATCAAAAGTGATCCAGTGGCAATGGATACCTTTGAAGAATTAGATTTGTGTTTGGCAAATATGAGGCAAAGCAGCCAGAACCTTTTATTTTTTCTTCAAGCATGAAAGGAGGACAAAAAGCAGTGTTTTCAACAAGATGTAGCCATTGCATTCACTTTCATACTTGGGAAAGGCAGAAATCCATATTTTCTCCCACACCATCCATGGATTAAATAGCAGGGTAGATTTGGCTCTCTAGCCTTAGTTGGCAACTAGCCACAGGGAAGGAAAACATCATATTCAAAACCTCAGAGAAAGCAAAAGAAAACAACTGTCTTTTCCAGGAATTCATGGCAGTTCACAGATTTTAATGTAAAGGAAGTTATGATGGCCTATATCCTTTGACCTACATCTCATAACTTAGACTTCCAGTCTCTGATGTCCATTCACTTGCCTATCAACTATAAAGCAATAAGTAGGTCAAATACCTACTTTTCATTTAAGTATTGATATTGACAGCAATGTTTATGCCAACTTTTAATACATATCAATAGATTCCTTGTGGAAAGTTGTATATATGGATAATGTTTCAATTGACTAAGTGCAGGTGTTTGGAAGGAGATGGACATACACACATGGTCCTGACCTGATATCTCAGCTTCAATCATTTTCACACCACCAAAGATTCACAATGCCTAAGGTTTAAAATGAATTTTTAAAAATGAAAAATCTTTATTGAAGCTTTTATTTTAGTTTTAATTTCAAGTTAATAGATTAAATTTAATATTTCCAATAAGCAAAATAATTATCTGTATTTCAAAAGTAATTTAAATTAACTGAAAGTAGTTTACATTTTGAAATTGTTAAAATCACTGATTTTAGCACCACTTTTAGTCATCTTTCATCACAACA